AGGAAGGCTATGGAAAATCCTTGTAAATATAAAGAGAAGCTGGGTTTTAAGGATAGCTTGCTGAGCTATTATGACTTGAACTTGCATTTTGCAGTGAAAGCTGAGTTAAAGAAATTTGTAAATTAGTATTACTAGAAACCGAAGGAAGATTATTGAGGAATGAAACCTGTTGGATTTTGCGAAGAGGTCCTCGGCTTACCGTCCTGCGACTCCAATGAACTCGTGCTATGCTTTCGTCTGCAGTGTGACCGGCATCAGAGCACGAATCAAATATGCTTGGTTTGACAACAATTTGAGAATAATGAGGGGACTAATGTGAAATATAGTCACCTGAAACTTTTTCTCCTCAAAAACGCCAATCTCGTAGTCGACCAGTGGCTCTGCATCATCCCGGGGCCCTGAGAAATCTCCGAACTTCATAAAGTTTCTAGGGGCTCGCCGCCATCTAGACTGCTCGGTCTGCATTGGATTGGCGACGCGGGGTTCATTGTTCCCAACGGCTGAACCGATTATCTGACTTCCGAAGAAGTCATCTTCCACTTCCAGAGTGGAATCCTCATCTTTGGCTGAGGTCTGACCCTGGACTGATTTTTCTGCCCAGCTATTAGAATTTCTGGATTTTTTGACGTTATCCTGATGTGACAGATAGCTGAATCCGGCATCAGCTTGTGGTTGCTGCTGATGAGAGTGGGAGGCTGAAGATAAATAGGAGGGCGTTTGCAAAGCTTCAGCACGTCTAACTGTGAGATCAATAGATGAGTCTGGTGAAGAGTAGTCATCAGCAAAGACGCGGAGGCGAAATATCCCAGGGAACTGACTAACCTGTCCTAAAATAAAAGTGATAGAAAAGGGGATGAGACAAACCAAAAGTCCTCTATAACAACCAATAATTAGCAAAAGCCTTTGCCGATGGATTCAAACGGAGCAATAAAATGAAGATACATTTAGTTCGAAAGCGATAATGCAAATTAATACATATACAGATCATTTAGTGAATTTGAGATACGAACAAGAGAGTGATATGGAATTGATTGGGCGAAAAGAGATAAGTACCAAATATTAACTGATTATCTCAATTAGTTTTAGAGAACCAAAGGGCTCATGTCAAAGCGTCATATCCCATATAGGTCTATTCTTCTTCAAAGCACAGGAATACTTATTATTCTCCGAATCGACAAAACACATCAGATAAATCAAGGATATGAAGAACAAGATTAGTGGTCCTGCTACATGATTTTTTTTTGAAGAATATAAAAGGGATAGTAGGGCACAATTTAAAGTGAATGGAATAGAGGAAGATCGGATAGAAAATAGTAAGAAAATAAGAAAAGATAAAGTGGGGAAAATGAAAAAATGAGAATTAGAATTGAGACTGAAATTATGAAGAGAAACTGGGTCTCGAAGAATCCCTTAGAAGATTAATACTGACATACCCTTCATTTCGTTTAAGAAGGCGGGTGGAAGGGATTCGTAGATTGGCCTCATCAGATACCAAAGGAGCGTTGCCTTGGACTTTTGTCTGTTGAATTGTGCGAAGTATATATCGGCTCATCGTCCTACGACCCCGATGAGTCCATGCTGAGCTTTCGTCCGTCATGTGACGGACATCGCTAGAGCCAGAAACCATTATTCACGAACAATTATCAAAAACACTAAACCAAGAAAAGTGGTCAGCTGAGATCCTACTTACAGCTTATACCTCACTTTTTGATCTTAATGAGGCATTCCAAGATTTGGTTGGCTGTTTTATGCTTATCATACATTGCTTGCACAATTCAACAGGCAAAAGTCCAAGGCAATCCGTGAGATTGGGATTGTCTGAACCACTTTTAGACAAGGATAAAAGAAGACATGCTACTCACCGGTCAATTCGATGACCCAAAAGGCAGCATTACTTGATGAAGTTCCT